ATAACTGCCTAGCTGTAATACAGTGGCTCGTCTGTAGTATGTGTGGTTAGTTTGTGTTGCAATGCGAATCTACAGCGGACAAAAAAAAAACGTAGGTACTCTTGTCCGTGGGATATTTAAAATGCCTTTCAGAAATTCGTTAATATCTCACTGTGGCGGACCGTACGGCACTCTCACTGCAACACGTCGGGAAAGCTATTGTTTTCAGTCATTGTTTTCTCTTAAAGCGCATTTAATAATCATTCGAATGTACGGACCGTGTTAACGTGACAGGTCAATGTATCCGTATGTTGTTTCATTCCGCGACAATTGATTCAAGGTTGTGTATCTACGTTGTTATCGGCGAGGACGAATATATCGTCAACTAACTACGAAATGATGCCCAGTGGGACTTAATTTGAATGCACTTGACGCATGAACAAGTCGCTTGCGACTCACATGTACGGAGAAGTAAACATAGATTGGTAATCTTGGGATATGCTGACGTCATCGGGTGAAAGGTCGCAACTATCACGACATTCATCATATCGTGCGCGCATTTCATTGAAACCATTTATTGTTTTAATTTTCGGGCGAAATCATTCACAACGACTACAGTAACACGGAAAATAAAATCCAAGAAATATACTTACCTCAATGATGTACTAGCTATGAGAATTTTGCCGACGTCATCGTCGGAAGTGAAAACTTAGAAAGTCGCGCGCAATTCATTCAAACCATTTTTCTATTTGAATTTTCGGAGAAAATCATTCAAAGCGAGTACAACAACACGGAAAATAAAATTTAAATTATGGCAAACAAGGCTGAAAAGTACTTCCTCTGTGAATTTCTAGATATTGCTTTCAGACTGCGTAATCTTCTTTATGTTTGTTGCTGGTAAACAAAACGGTGAAAAAAGTAGTTCCTGTTAATTATAGTTAGAATGTAAAAGAATCTCGTGTAATTTATTTTAGGACAACGCTAAGTTTTCGACATTATGCCTAACCAAATCTAAAAAAAATGACATTTCGTTATTCGTTGACCATCACCCCGGTGGGATATATATAATAATAATAATTATTATTATTAATTTTAAGTTAATTTAGTTTAAAAATTGGTCTCTGTATGATTGTGATAACCTTCAGTCCTTACCAAACCTTGCACAATTGATACTTCAAGTTTTGTAAGGTTTAAAACAACTACGTCGACTCGGAATTACAAAAAAAAAAAAAACGTATAAAATGGTGAAAACACTCTAATATATCACTATGACGTTCTATGACGTCATGCTTTAAAAGTGTACATATACTAGTACATACTACATAGAAAAACCCCGATTTATACCACACTGTTTCATTCAGCGGAACAGATTACTCTTTATACCTGTGTACTGGAGATCGGTAACTGTCACGATGATCTTATTCATGAGTCACGACATTTTACAGCTTTAAGGTAAGTACGATGAATCAGACAGTGACGACGCCAAATCCATTTGTATATGCACTAATTTTGTCTCTTTGTGATGATTGATCAATTAATTAGTCGGTTCACTCACTTAATGACTCTAACTAACATTCTGCCACACCATAACATCCGTCGTTTTCAACCTCTGATTTCAACTTGAGGTTGAATAGTCACGGTAGCCATGAGATTTGGTTTTGAAAAGACAAACAACGCTGGATTGCGTGATATCTATTAGTGTCTTGGAAATACGATAGCACCGGTGAATCGGATAAAACATCTCTGTGTTTTCTTTTTCTCGAAAGAGATTTGGCCAGATTTAATCGACGGGTTAATTCACCTACAAAGAAAGCGGTGCATTGTGGGTAACCTGAATAAGGTCGCCGGACAAAATGGAATATATAAACGAACAACTTACATGTAAAGATTAAAAAAAATACTTGGAAATGCTCAAGGCAATTAGAAATAACGTTCCATGTACTGTTTGTCCTTGGTGTATTTCGTTCAGCACTTCATACACTCACAAACAATATCGGCAAATAATTTAACTTGGACGTGAATACCAACAACGTGAATTAAATATAATCTGACTCACCCGTATCATGGAGGTATAGACAGATATACCTCCATGCCCGTATCAATACTACTCATACACAAACTACAGTCCAGTTTACATTATGTAATTAGCGTCAAGGGAAACCGTGCGTGGTATTTTCCACCAATGACGATAACTCACAGCTTGTGGTAGATTGCCACTGTGCCGCCGAGTCCGTAATCTGAAAGTGTTGGTCATTCGAAACTCATGGCGGCGAATCAGTAGACCAACTAAGCAAGAAAGTAATAAGTTATGAAGTTGATTTTTTTTTTTCGATGATATTGTCATATTTGTATAAATATACAATTGTTCGTTTGTCACTGTTCCATTTTTTTTTTTTAATTTTACCACCAACAAAGATGGTTCGAAGAAAATCACGGAGCAGGAAGTGAGATCCGTCTATTGTGATGGATTGATTTATGTGTGTGGCGATCATCGCGAAGCTTTTGGGACATTTGACAAACTAAATAAGGGGATATTGTCCCCGCAATAACATATCGTTCTACACCTCAACGTTCTCACACAAGGGGCATTGTACTGTGGGTTGAACGGCGGAGTACTAGTAACGGATGGGTGATTCAAGCAGGTCTAGGAGGGCACCGTGAGTGGAGGTCGAGTAACCTGTTCACGCCCGGACAATACTCTCACTGCTTAATGCGCTGAAGTCGAATCCACTGGGAGAGTTAACCAACTCTCGATGAGGGTGGTCATTTAAAGCTCGGTGGTCGTCGCGCAGCGCGTGTTCGAATTTCATGTAAATAAACAATGTATTTTACACGCGTAGTATACGTCGCTATGAGTCCCATGTCGAGCAGGACGCGGCACGACGACTACCGCCCTTTAAGATTACTGTGCCACTTTTTAGATACCCCCCCCCACCGAGGTGTGGCACTGAAACTACACCGTCGATGGCTAGTGATTAAGACCTCGTCATCTCGAGTCGTCACCTGTATTTAATACGGCGTGCTTGAGAGGTGGAATTTACGAACATCTTAATGTGGGATTAACGCCGGATGTGACGTATGCGGTCAATAATAATCAAAACTATGTTTTTTAAATTTTATTTGTCATTGTGCATTGTTCTTCGCTTGGTGACCTTTGACTGTCAAACAATGACATTCTTCAGTCGTCACCCTTTCATTTTATACTTTGTTGATAACAAGCCTTTTTTCTGATCACGTACCCTAGACGATTTAAACTCTCATTCTCAACGTGTTTAATAGATGGTTGACGGGCATTTCAAATTTATTAAAAAATATGTTTCATTTTTGGCTGTTTTATGTTTAAAATTGTCACATATATATATTTATCTAAGTATGGTGTTGTAAAGACATTATGACCAGTTCACAATGCACAGTGTTATTTCTTCCAGGCAACTGTGACATTGTTCTTTTTGCGTCATAATAGCATGATCAGAAATGGTTATTTGTCGAATCGCTTGTAGTACCACAATGCACTGCGTGTTTCCACCACCCACATCCAGATATTCATAATGACAATAGGGGTGGAAAAAAGCAACAACAAAGAAGTTTATACGTCATTTATCAGTTGAAATCTCTCAAATAGGAAATGCATATACATTTTTAAACAGGATATGTTAATGGCATCATTATGCCTAACGCTAAGTTCTTTGGACGGGTAATATGCTCTTCAAAGTACTCGTAAATACACCATAACTCCAAATACATGCGACGAAACAAGGTGGTACGTAGTGCACCAAAACTATAATTTATTAGTATTAGTTAAGACAACACACGCTATTATTATGGTGACTCACATTGACACGAAACATCGATAAAAAGAATGGTTGGTTTATTCAGGGAGGTTTATACCTCCATGGTTTATTTAGTGAGCACTTCGCATATACACAAAGATTGAGTGTAAATTTACAATACACCTCAGACCACGATACTCATACTAAACTGAATCTAAAACCTGACAGAAATGTATCTTGATTACGGTTTGACGTTCCTTTTCACTGGACCTTTCACATAAAACGACGTAATTCAATGATACTGCAATGGGTGGCCGGACCTTCACCTTGGCCTTCATTGTCACAACGCTCGTGTTTTAATGTTTTAACGTTGTCGACAGAGGGCGCATACTCGAAATTTCGACAATTACGTTGCAAGGATGTCGAGCATTGAAGTCGGCAACCTGTACGTATGTGCAATTTAAACCAGCAAACAAATTAAGTTAGCTCGAGTTAGCAAGGGTATGTGCTTTTGCTCAGTCTGTTGTCATCGGATGAGCTTGAGAGCTGTCATAGAAACCCCGGGCTTCCCGTAAGTTGAAATTGTTTTTGAGATCAAGGCAAACACGAAATAACATCATTGTGTGTTTTAATTCTCAGCTGCGTTAAATAATTTGCTCAAGTGGAGCTATTTGTACGTATATTGTGTGATTGACAAGCCGGACGCTTTCCCACTACACCACACGTCTGGGTTTCATGCGTCATCGACCTACTATTGTAACTAAGCGATGGGCTGCACTTGGGATCCCGGCATTGACGTACACTCGCCGGGGGAGGCTGCCATCAAATATATACTATATTTATGACTCAAAAACATATGTATGTTTACAACAATTCTTAATATCCGGATAAAATATCAGATACGTCTTCGTCATTGTTTTTTCTGGATGTTTTGCGTGGTGTGAGGGAAACGTCACCCGCATAGCACAGGGTTTCCGCACCCGCATGTAATGGTACATCCCGACCTTAATTCTCAGTAAACTCAGCTCACAGTGTGGCAGGTCCCGCCTACTCACAGATAATACGCTGGAATGACGTCAAACCCTGACGTGTGCCTGCAAGCATCCTGCGGTGTATTCCGCGCGATGAAAGCAAGCTTGGCTCTGCCAGCGACACGATCATCTTGGACGTGTTCATAGTGTATTGACTGCCATCCATTCAAACGCTTTTCTGCAACGTTCCAGCTAGGAAGGGTATAACCAGCTTCGGAGCTAAAGTCGGTATCCCGCCGTAGCGGTTCACGCTCTATCCCTCTGACTCACACAGGAAATCTAAACGACTATGTCCACGCTGTTGTGCCTGCTCTGACGAAGGAAGCGATGGACTATTTTGCCGAGCTCCACCATGATTTTCTAACATTTTTTTTATTCTGATATTCCTGTGCGTCTGTGTGTTTTCAGACCAGCGATGGTTATCATGGCCGAGAAATCGAAGGGGCATATCCGTGTGGGATTTTATGACATAGAACGAACCATCGGTAAGGGGAACTTTGCCGTGGTGAAACTAGCTCGCCACCGGATAACTAAATCGGAGGTAGGTGGAATCGGCTTTTTAATCCTATACATGAATATATTTACTGTTTTCGTGGAGTGTGTTTGTGTGCGGGACACAGTGGTACTATCACAATCGCGATTGTTTTTTTTTACACCACAGCTGATAGGCGTCGGCTGAAACTATAATATATTAAATGTATACATCGATCTTTTCCAGCTTTTACTATGATCGAAAATAACGTGCCTGGCCATTGTTTTAATTACCCTACCGCGTTTTGTTACCCCATAACCTTGTTACACAGGTCGTACCATTCATTTTCACTAGCATGGGTACCACGCCGGGTTTTCTTTGTTTACGATGCTATCCTTGTTTTACATTTTGTGGATAGTTTTTCACATAACCCGCAATTCTAAATTCTCCCCTCGCGCGACTCGCTATTAATTAATTTTTCATCTTACCCGCCATATGCACTTGCACTTCACCACCCAGGCGTTATTTTTAAAACTTTATTTGCTTTCAAAATCGGTTAAAAACATCAAAACTAATTTATATTTACCCGACATTATACGTTTGCTATGAAAACAGTTATAACGTTGATATACAGCCCCTTTTAGATCATAGGGGCAGTTACAAATATACTCATTTCCGCCATAAATATATACAACCTGCGCTCGCAATGTGACCAATGCCGGTAAATCTATGAAGGCTTTGATCGGTTTTAAAACTACCCGTTACTTCGCGGGCCAAACACCGACACAACACAATGTCGTTTTAGCAATCAAATATGACGTCTCTTCGCGATTAGCCCTTTTTTAATTATCCTACAATCAATTAATTAATTACCTGCATTTTAATGTCTTTTTTGACTACTCTTGTTTACGTCACGCAGTTGTCATCAAGGCCATGTTAATTTCCGGCTAAACTGCCAAAACGTTGAATCGCAATGTCCCGTATTGCATTGCGTATCCCCTTTTACTTTAATAATAAACAATCAGACGTCAACACAAATTGTATTTAACAATGAAAGACCCATTATTTATCTTCTTATATTTATAAGGTTGTAATAAAGAATTATCTTCTCTTATCTTATCTTATCTTATTTAGTTTGTGATGTTGATTTGCACGTTTTCTTTATTTCGCCACCCACTTCTATAAAAAAACAACACATCAACAAATTGATATTCCATATTAGTTTATTACTGGTAGTAAATATTGATCCATGTGTGTCACAGGACTATTTCAAGAAGTATTTCTAATGCATGATCATAAACTATATCTCGCTTTTTGGTGGTGTACACACCACTGTTGCTTTTATTAGTTGTGAACAGTTCAGTTTAAAACCACTAGTTCATCAACATTCTGTGATCGAACATATTTTTTCTTTGTTCTGGTTTGTTTGGAAGCTTAGAAACTATGTTTGTTAACATTCTGATGATTATTAATAGACCAAAAAACAATGTTCATGTTTATTGTCTGGTTTCAGGTTTAGATTTGTTTGGTTAGTTTTTTTTGTTTTTTTTTAAATTAATTAAGAATAATATGGTTTCATGAAAAATAAAAATGAAATAAAAATTGGTTCATGCACATCGATTTTACATCCAAAAATTGAGCAGAAGCATTTTTTTTTCATAGATTTATTTTCAACAAATTAGTTCTGAAAAAAATTTACTTTACTAGAATCATGGCTTACCTCCATGCTAGAATTAAAAATACAAATAATTCGCCTAATACCCCTTCTGAATCACTATACCTAGTCAAGTCCCATTTTACAAAAACACTCCAAATGTTTTGATTTATTTACATCACTATTTTTTTTTTTTACCTAGAAATCAGGGGTCTACTTAGAGGTCGACTGTAAGCTAATTAGTCTTCACCTCTTGTTCATAGTAAATTTGAACATCAGCCCCCCACCCCAACTTTTCTAAATACGATATTTACTCGATTAGCAGCACATCTTCAATAGATGCACATATATTGATCAAAAATCACATTTATTGTATAGTGAATCATCAAAATATGACTTATTTCGACCACAGAAATCATCAAAATATGACTTATTTCGACCACAGACTCACCCCTATAATTGATATAAGTACGTGTGCTACTAATAGAGCAAATTCGGTATTGTGTCTGAAATAATTACGCCACCTGCTTTTTTAATAAAGCCTTCTTATACTCATCGTCTGGAAGAGCTAGGGAAATGAATATTCCCAGCAGAACAATACTCTTTGTCCGAATTGCACAGTTTCATGAACTTTTGTTAACATATGCACAATGAACCTGTGTGTGACTTGACCAAAAGGTCGCATATTTGACCTTAGTTAATTCATAGATCGGATTGGAAACGCATGTAAAAAAAGGCACCCATGACGATGCTGATGTACGTTCTTCGAAAAGGTATATCACTCTGATGACAAATAGGGTTCATTCAACAACTGAAGCTGAAAATAATCTCTGAAAATTATTTTTCCGATGAAAGAAGGACTTGTACCATAACAAATTTATGAAAAGATATCTTGTCTCCAACAAGGTATACATTTTTCGTTAAATGGTGTGACAGGAGTATCCATTTTCACAAATTTGTAGTTTCGGTATTTTTGGAGCAATCAACGAAACTGTTGCAAGAGCAGTGACAATACCCTGCATTCAGAATCAACTGGTGATTCTTGTCAGCAAATTTCTCCTCAGTATTTTATTATCCAGGAGAAAATCCTATATTTACAAAAAATGCAGGATCACTTACCGAAAATTTTTCAAATAACAAGATTTCTGTGGAAAAATATTAGTTTATTTGTGTTCTTGTGCTATATTTCGTCATATCAAAAAGGAATTGCTCTGTGATGTGGATGAAAAGGTTTGTATTGTTATTGATAGAAATTCTGATACCGCTATTCAATATACTCCCATAATGCATTGCACATATGCTTAGTAACATGCTCAGTAGATGCAGAACTTGAATTCCCCTCCCATGATGCATTGTACATGTGCTCAGTAACACAGACCATATTGCAATTTCAAATTACAGTGCATTGTGGGATAGTATGGTAGGTTGCACAGGGAGCTTTGTGATTAGCGGAGTTGTATTCGATCATGATTCGAATTGGTCAAAACTATCCCACAATTCACTGTGATTTGGAACTGCGATATGGTCTGTTCAGTAGGTGCAAACTCTTATCCCATAATGCATTGCACATACATGTATGCTCAGAAACGTACTCAGTAAATGCAAAACGTGAATTTTTTTTTAACTGCTGGTAATTTGAATATGCAAATATAAATATTCTGATAACTACGTAATCAAATATGCAACATATAAGACAAAATCAATATTATAAAAAAACACAAAAAAAACAACATTTTTTTACCTTTGAAAACCCCTCATTGTGTACCCTCTCACCCCTCTACTGAAATGGTCTCTGTGAAGCAAAGTTTTAATTATTTCCCTCTTTTGTTTAAAAGATTTCCTTTCACCCATCATCATTGGCACCTGTCTTTTTTCATTCTGAAGTGCTTTATAAAAGCTGTCATTATTTATGCTGTTTCTGCATGGATTTTGAACTAGAAGAGCTGCGACGATAACGGTACAATGAAATGACATCAAGGAAATTTTTTATTTCTGTTTTGGTGTAATATCAGACAATTGTATTTCCTGAGAAAAGAATTCCAAATTACTGTAGTACTAACAGCGTGTAAAATTGCTTTAGCCTAATTTTTCTCAAATGTTGAATGAGAGATCTGCTCAAATTGTCTTTCAGTTTTCAGATTTGCATGGCTTGGAATGAATATAGCTTGGTTTGTATAATATTTCATAAAAGGCAAAGATGCCAACAAATTCGAAAGAGATGCATTGTTCAAAATAGCACTGGCCGAGTGTCTTTCCGCACGTAGATATGATTTACTTCCCGAGGTGCTAGCTGATCAGATGAGTGCATCATGCACACATTCTCAATACCTTTTGAGCGCGTCATCCAAAAACTCGAAAATATAGTTCAGGCACGTAGCAGATGACGAATCGGATATTTATAGCGATATGAATGTTGATATTGTCTAAAATCAATTTGCCGAATTGGACGCCGGTGACCTGAACAAGCGTGTGGGTGGTATTTATATGCTAATTATCGATACATCTTTCCGTGCCTTTAGGCGATGGGAAATAAAACTCGTACAGAAATTATCGCATCTATGATTTGCAAATAAAAGCATGTGTATTTAACATCATCATATTACTGGATTTTGATTGTTACAAATAGTAGGCAATCAGATAACAATGATATTCGTTTATCTGAGATGAGACTGTTGCTTAATATCATCAATCTTACGTCAGGACTCGACAATAATAAGAAAATGGAAATCTTCTTTTCTGGGATGAGAGCCCGTCGAGGAGCATTATCACTATAAACAATATTAGGATGGATGTAAGCAGGCAAGAAATGTTAAAACAAAGAGCAGTTAATTGCCTTTTTAGGTAATTTAGTTGGTATTTGTACGGTAGTAGCTGTAATGTACTGTGGGCACCGCTCCAGCTATACTTGTGTGCTTCTAGTGTAGGAAAATAGCATGACCAGTGTGCCCCTCTATCAGGGCTAATTTTGTAAGGATCCTGAGTCAAAGTGAAATACGAAAGATAAATTTGAGTTAGCTTTTTGACTGCTGGGGAGCTCGGTATTCAAGTAAAAATGTAACTGTATGCTAGTGTATGACTTAAGAAAAAAAAATGTTGTGGCTCCAGACTTCCTTCATTTTAACTTTCATATTACCAAATTATTATAGTAAGCTGTTTCTCAAGATCACTATAACTATCAAACGTGCCAATTAATTAACACAACTCATTGCCGAACTCAAAAAATAATTCCATAGTTGGTTCAGTGAATTTTTTAAGATGTACTTTTATATAAAAAACAAAGGGTTTGGTGCATTCGTCTTCAACTACTGTAAAAATTTCGCTTGGAATTAATTTTTGTCATTTTCGCTGAAGGAATGATTCAGTGCAAATAAAATCCAGCGAATATACCTTTTTTCCTATATCATTCAACAAATAACAGGGATTGAAATAGAATTTTTTCCCTGCATGCACAGTGTGCATGTTGAAGTTGAAATTTACCTGCACTAACTTATTGTTTTAAAGTTTTAATAAAATTTACAGGTTCTTGATTGATGCGATCACGAAAAGAATTAGCTTTTTTTTTTTAGTTGTCTTACAATATTGGTTGAACTTAATTTAGGCTTAGTGAATATGTGTTAATTTTTACATGCACAGTGTGCACATTATATTTTGAGTTTACTTGCACTAGGTAATAATCTATGTACATAGTGCAGTGTGCACAAGGGTATTTCGACCCCTGAATAAAAAAAATCAGTGAAAATTAATTCTATACAAAACACCCAAAAAGTCTTTTCAGCGAAAATTAATTCCAGCTAAAATAAAGTATTTTACAGTACTTTTTTTTTTTCTTCTCTCACTTGATGTTAAAGAAAGTGTTATTATCTTGTACTATTCTTGTAACTATTCGTTTAATGTTCTGCCATTCATATGTAACATTGTAAGCAAGGGGCGTACATTTTTAAGGCTGCATTACCGGTACTCATTACTCAGTCATGCTAAGAAAAAAAACTTAATAAAGATTTTAAAAAAAAGTTTGAAGAAAAAATTGCTGACATTGTTATTTTTTCTGTTCTCTTTTTCTAGGTTGCCATCAAAATCATTGACAAATCTCAGCTGGACGAGACGAATCTTAAAAAGGTTTACCGCGAAGTCCAGATTATGAAGCTTTTGAATCATCCAAATGTCGTCAAGCTTTACCAGGTTATTATTATTAATATTCATTTTTTTTTAAAATTTATATTTTATTCAGCATGTCAGCGAGTCAGAAGGAAATGACGTGAATGTCGTAGATAGATAAAACTCCACCGCCGATAGCTTCAAGTCGCAATATCCATACAGTTCAATTGCATGAACAAGAAATGTGATATATACGTTCGTAGGATGAAAAGAACGCAGTGCGAAGATTTTTTTACTTTACCCGCACGTTCTTTCGAATCAGTACCTCACCACTCACCCGATTATAAGTACTTTCACAAGATTTTCAATCTTCTAATTTAACAATGTTCAATTTGTTTCGTACTAACTTAAGTGAAAACTCTCTCTAACTTGTTAAGCTTAGACTTGTTTTTTGTCTGTTTTGTAGTATCTTCAAGATACTGTGGCGCTCCAATGTGCACAGCATGTATTGAAGCCATCCATTATACAGCATTTGTAAATTTACTGTTTTTAGCGCTTTCAGTCCTCCGAATGATTAATAATAATTTTTCTTGAGTCATGTTCAAAATCATTCTATGAATACGATAACATGGATGGAATACAATTCTATTTTAAAAATTACATAATTGTTATCTAAAGTTCAAAGGTCATCTCACTTTTTTTCTTCGGGGGGGGGGGGGGGGTTCGGGTATCAATAAGCTAATGCATTTTATTGTGACTTGGCCAGTGTTGTCATGGTGACAATATGCAGTATACATGTATTGCTAAATATCAGAAACAAAACTTAAACAGCCATATTGACTTCCGCTTTCACTGCCATGAATAATTGAATGTGATTGAATAATTAGCCATTTCCATGACAACTGTTTTTTGTTTTTTGTTTGGTATAAAAAAAAAGTTACATATACAGGTTCACTAACTGGAGATATTGATAAAATTTAAAGGCATCAGAATTTATATTCTACAAAAAAAAGACAAAAAAGACGTATACATTTTTAACTGATGAACATTTATGTTTTTTTTCCGGGTCTCAGCAACGTCTGTTGTTAAGAGAGGAAGCCAGATTTCAAAAATGTCATACACAGGCTAATAATGCAAACTATGTCAGTTACATAACTAAATGTTTTTTTTTTCTGATGAGTCAGAGATCGAGAATTTTTATTTGCCTCGATTACCAGGCATCACCTTTCCTCTCTTGCTCAATTCAAATAAAGTCCTTTCATTTTGCACGTATCTGACCTCTGAACTCTGACCTGATTCGTGTCTGAACTTTGGGATTACCCAAAAACTGGCTATATTATGTCAGCCGTTTGGAGAATCTGTGTATGAAAACAATAATCCAAACTTTGTTTTATTTTTCAGCTATATAATTTTAAATTTTTTTTTAATATCGTTGTCAGGTTATGGAAACCAAAAGTATGCTTTATTTGGTCACCGAGTATGCCAGCAATGGAGAAATGTTTGGTGAGTTCACTTTTCTAGTTATTTGTATATTATTATATCTTACATTAAAATGGCAATTTTGTGTTCCATATAGTTATTAGGGTGGCCATTTTGAAAAAAAAAGAAAAATTATAATAATTTATAAAGATAATTAAAAAAAATAATGTTTGGATCTCACGTTTTCTCATTTAATAATCAATAAATTTTTAATTACATGAAATGTTCAATAATAAAGCACTTAAAGGGATTCAAAAACTGTATGCTTTGTGAATAAAACAAAACAAAACAACAACTTAGCATTTATTACATTAAGCCTGTTATATAAGCATCGATTGCTTAGTGTATTCCGGCAGCTGTCGTGCGTGATAAACTATTTCACTGCAGTTGACAAGTTTGGTTGTATTTCACATAATAAATCCTTAACATTAAAGGGGTTTGTTTTTCTTGTGACTTTTATCCATGAGGTGTTAAGTAAGCATGGTGTTTGACATTCCGTTGGTGAACTGGTTGCTGAAATCAAAATAGGCTATAGCTGATATTTTTCGCGTGATTTGATTCCAGTCTATGGTACAAAGATAGAATGATGTGTATACGTACATACCAGTGCCGTCCGTTGTTAATTCAAGTGAAAGAGAATCACATTTATAGCTCAGATATAAAAAGAAAATTTGTTTCAAGCATTCTGTTTTTGTTTAGTTTTTAGCTTCGCTGTCGTCTTTGTCGAGCGGAGCTTATCATATGAGTTGTCCGTCGTCGTCCGTGTCAATGTTTTACTTTTTCGACTTCTTCTTGGAAACTACAAGCCTGAATGCTTTGATACTTCGTGTATATGTACCTTGGGTAGACCTCTCTCAGAATTGTTCATTTCGTGATGATATCTTTAATTCTCTAATTTTGGTGAATATTTTTGTCATTTTTGGTAAAAAGTGATATTTTCAACTTCTTGTTAAAAACCGCAAGTCCAATTGCTTTGATATTATATATATTGGTACTACATGTGGACCTCTCTCAGGTTTGTTCATTTCGTGATGATATCTTTAATTCTCTAATTTTGGTGAATTTTTTTGTCATTTTTGGTAAAAAGTGATATTTTCAACTTCTTGTTAAAAACCACAGATTCAATTGCTTTGATATTACATATATAGATACTACATGTAGACCTTTCTCAGATTTGTTCGTTTCGTGATGATATCTTAAATTCTCTAAATTTGGTGAATATTTTGTCATTTTTGGTAGAAAGTGATATTTTCGACTTCTTGTTAAAAACTGTAAGTCCGATTGCTTTGTTACTATACATATTGTTCATTTTCTAATGATGTCTTCTGTTCTTTAATTGAAATGTGCATTGCCAACAGCGGAGCTATCTCAGTCGATAGGCTGCTTGTTTATTCTTGGAAAGAGACTAAGACATGTTTTTCAGCAAGCTAATTGGATGTTACAGCTAGAATAATCAATATTTTGTGATATTTAATTTTCATATTCCTCATTTGCATATGCATTTTTTTTTCCATGTCATTGGAAGTAGTATGAATAAACAAAGGCCCTAGGTAATATAGTCAGTGTCATGTCATGAATCCCAGGGTGGGTGTAAAGAGGTATAATTTGTGGCATAATCATTTTTTAATCCTGTTTATTATACCATCCACACTCCCATTAATTTTCATTCAAACATTGCAAGTAAAAATAAAATGCAGAGTAATTGAAATTTAACAGGCAAACATTTTTTTGGCATTATGAGTTTAACCTGTTAATCACCAGTTTCCTCTTTCATCAGAAATTCCCAAAATGCATTTTTCTCGTTTGCACTTTCCTTCAGAAGATTGGAACAAAAGTAGCCAAATTTTTTGAGTAAAAAACAAAAATTGACTTAAATTTTGTTTGTTGGCTCCAAAATCAGGATTAATTTCCTGAAATATTGAAGAACTTAAGAAGAAAAATGCAGAAAAATTTTAGTGAGAAAATCTGGTGGTGAAACGGTTAAATATTTTTTTCTGCAGTTGTATAGACATTGAAAAAAGTAGAATAATTATAAAATTAATTAATTATTATTATAATTAATTTATTATATAATAATTTGAATATTAATATTTTTTGAGCTAGGCAGAGGGGATCAATAAAAAAGGTATTATTATAAAGGGTTAAATAAATAATAAATGTGTCAGTATTATTTTTTTTTTCATTTTCAAAATATATCGGCTTGTGTTGAAGTGAATATTTTCAAGGTCAGTTCAATGTCAATGCAATGTAGTTCAGTTTGGTTCACAGACGTCACTTGTTGTATACTATAAGCAGACTTGACATTTGTATTAACCGTCCCCTATTGCCTGGTCCGGATAAAAAACAGTATGGGTGTTCTACTGATAAACACCTAGCTATTAATGTGCCTAGCTTTATCGCCAGATTAATAGTTCATGTTTTCTGCATTGGATTTAAATTACATGTAATATTGTTTTCTTCTATAATTCCCCTTCTATAATTTCCTCCGTGTATCGTTGCTTGCAATAGGATACATGTTGGCTTCGTAATGTGAACAAATATTGGTCCTGAATTTAGCTCTAATGGGGGTGGGGGTGGGGGTGGAGGGTGGGGAATTGGAAATCAATGGATAGGTGCAGTCAGCAAAAAAAAAGATAGGGTGAGGCAACCTATTGCAATGATTCTTTAAAACTATTATGGCTGAGAGTTTAATGATTTTTTTGTTGTTGAGAAATTATTACTTTAATCTTTTTTTTTTGGGTAGAAAAAATCTCTTACTTTTTCTATAAGACTCTTAAGTTATTCATAAAATATGAATAATTTATATAATATAATATGAATTTTCTGACTAAAAAAATTATTCCTGACAACCCTAAGAACCCTTTGTATAACTATATAAACCAATGCTACTGACCAAAATATTTGGATATTCATATTTGTCCATTTTACCCAGAATGCAATGGTGAATGTCTAAAAAATTTGCATTTTCGTAGATGTTTGATTAATTTTTCTTGTAGGAAATATAGTCAGGATCATATTTTGATTATCTGGGTTTGTGAATTACAGCATAAAATAAAACGATAATTATTCAAGGAAATCAGGTGATATGTTTTATAAGTAGCCAAATGCCTTACATGCTAGGACTTAATGGCCTTAATATGATGTCTTATAGTATTAATAATAGTTAATCTGTTGCCATTTATTACTGTATGAAATCGTAGATTAAATCCTTCCTTAATCTGTATTTCATTCTATACGTATTAAAAGTGAGAAAGTCCAAATTATTCCTTTTGTCTACCGGCTTATCTTTTCATACTATTCGTCAATATTCTTCAAACAATTCATAGCATGTTTCCATGGCGAGTCGTGACTATTGCATTAGTAAGCTGCTTTATTCAAATTGTTGTGGTATGATTACATTTCATGGCAATTGTGGTTTTTACCTTTTTCACTTAAAATTTTTACAAACTTGTCATTCAGATTTGTTTTAACGCATTATTTTTTTTTCATTGATATTTTATTTTGAAAAATCTACCTTTGTGATTTGATAGAATTTAAAAATAGTCATAGATTTCTGTCAAATTTATTATTTTTTTTTTTTACTATTGGGGTTTTGCAGTTGTGTGGAGTAGTTAGTGCTAGAAATGCAAAAAAGCAAATAAGACGCTGACACACCTATGTGGCTGACCTGTTTGGATTGCCGCAACCATGGCAATATGATTGAGTCGCATGTCCACTGAAATGCACTTACCAGTGAGTGTAGCCTATACAGAATAATTGTCTCCGTGGAGACGAGCTACAACTGCCCATTATCCTTCCTGATGATGTCACTGGCACCATGGCAACCATCTCCATTAAGGTGTTAGCCACTGATCAGCATTGCAGAATGAAAGAAAAATACTGTTATTATCTAATGTAAACTGAAAGAAAAGTCCCTCCCCCCTCCCCCCTCCCCCCATAACATGTCAGACCACTGAGGCTTACTGTCTGAGATTATCAGTCCTACAAATAAATCCAGAAAATTGACGCTATAATGATGGGGGATTTATGTATAGCTACAAGGGTTGTGGCGAGAGAGCATTGAATAAGATTGCACAGTAATCTGTTATCCAAATTATTCTGTCTTGCCAGAAATCCCTCAGAGGCCATGTGTTTCTTTTATTTTCCTTCTTTTTTATTCTATTATTTTTTTGTTATTCTATTATTTTTTTAGGAGAACATTAGCGTGTAATACTGTAAATTACTTTATTTTAGCTTGAACTGGTTTTCCCTGCAAAGGCCTTTTCAGTGTTTTGTATGGAATTTATTTTCACTCATCTTTGACTATCTTTGAAAGATTATATTCACTGAGTCATCCCTTCAGTGATAATAAATTCCAAATATTTTACGGTAATTCTTATTTTTGTGACAAGTTCAACTTCATTACTTCACTTTATTCATGGAATAATCTACATGTAGAAAGCAAAAAAATAATATGATAAAAAAAGTGATTACTGTAATATCTTTTTTTTTCGAATCACATGTAATGTACTATGCATTATGCTATAAGGTTTCTGAATTTAAGTCACGTCTTGAGTGATGTTTATTTCGTGTCATTTTATCCGTAAATACCACTTGTATAATGCATTTGAAAAAGGCATTATGCAATGGGTCTTCCCGTTGATTTTTTTTTATTTCTGGTAAATCAAAATTGACTTAAAGGGAAACCACTCAATCCCATGAATTGCACCGAAGATTCATGGGACACTATTGTTCATGCTTACAAAGTTAATCTATCTTTTGTTATCCATTGTTATTTTAATCCAGGGAGTAAATTTGTTGTGAGATTAGGCTTAACTAGAAGTGCCCCTTTAAAGTTTGATAATCAAAATTTATTGAAAGAAAATTGATGTTCAAGTTCTGTTTTCTGAAGAATAAAAAAATTATTCCATAGTTTTGATCTTTTGCCTTAAATCACCATAATCATTGAGCCACATCATGTTTGATACAATGCTTCAATAATATTATCTGACGTCCATTAACATTTTTGGTCTCATTGATCAGAAAGCATTGCATTTGTTTTAATTCACACACATAATTGTTTCTATGCATATAAATAATGCAATAATCTTAACCAAGTATGCCCTACTTACTGTAAAATACTTTATTTTCACTGGAATTTATTTTCGCTGAAAAGACTTTTTAGGTGTGTTTATATGGAATTTATTTTCACTGATTTTTGGCGAGTTGAATGTTATTTTCACTGAATCATTCCTTTAGCGAAAATAGCGAAAATTAAAGCATTCCACAGTAATTAATGGGTAGCTATGCTGTTCACATGCCTAAGCAAACCTTAACAATTTCTCATAATCAAATGCGTGCAGTCAGTGATCAGCTTCCTTTTCTAATCTATAACATATCTGTATCAGATCCCCCTCCTCCACCTCTACAAACACCATTTTTAATTTTATTCAATCTCTTTTGGAATTTGAAACCCACAAACGCTTCCGCTCATAAGCCCTAAAGGCACTACGCTAACAATAATCAGCTTCATAATTGTCTGTGTGTATGCATGGAGATCTACAAATGGAATGTCCATCCCCCTCGTACTAGTTAAACATAGCCTGATTATGGAGAGATATTTTTGGATCAGAAAGTTCACACCAGCCTGACCTTAAGCTGTTGTTGGAATGCCATAGTTCGTTGGATCTTTTTTAAAAAACTGCATGTCCACTACTGCTTTTATAGTACATTTTCGTATCCGGCAAATTATTATCGATTTTCCAATTTCAGTTATTTTGGGATAAGTACATAGTTAGAACGTCTGGGCGGGTGGCTGCTTTTGCATTGTATACTGCGTTGCTTACGAACATTCTGCTAAATTTAACGTTGTGATAGTTACTCGTAGCAATTACCTCCTGATATTTATGCACTGGGTTGAGGTATACTTTTTAAAAACATACAAATATGTGTTGTCATGGAAACCAGTCGCTGTAGTACTCTGGAGTTTAATGGGGCAGATAATGAGCTTATTAATGTGTCTTTTCAACCCCTATATTAGTGTTTTCGTGTGCAAGTTTCTTCCTGTTCAATTTTATCATGGTGTTATGTGTACTTTAACAATCACATGACAACAGTATGACTAGGTGTACTTTTAATGTAAGGTGTATTTCCTGAGAATTACCAGCTGCTCGTTTTTGACGTAAATAGTTTTATCATTCTGAGATTTAGTAGGTAATAAATTAGGTAATTTGTGGTCTAAGCAATACTTCTTTTATATTGGATAAAAGCATATATCCATTGCAAACTTTGATATGTCGAAAAACAAATTCAACAAACAAGCCACTTTCTGATTGGTCCCAACTGTTAGATGTTGGGTTTGGTTAGCCAATCAGGCGCACTCTATTAAAGATGTAGAGTAAATGCAAAATTATTGATGTTGAAAATATAAAATCTTTTTTCTTTTCCAGACTATCTAGCAAATCATGGAAGATTAATGAAAAGGAGGCACGGAAGAAATTTTGGCAGATTGTTGCGGCCGTGGATTACTGTCATAATCGGCATGTAGTGCATAGAGATTTAAAGGTACGTTGAAAATGTGGAAATTTATTTGTTTGTGCGAGTTACAATTACTGCCATTTTAGCTTGGCATAGAATGTGTTGAATAGAATGTATTGCTTTTTCTTCCCGTATCCTTTGACT